GTCCCAGGAACACAAGGTCAGAATTTACAATGCAGGAACACTACATGCTGTTCTGCTGCCTGTCTTCTGAAAACAGTGTTGAAAAATTGAACAGGATTCAGCTAGAGAAGGCCTCTTGTGTTGAGACACCTGAAGAGCTCAATCTGTTTATTTTGTCCAAACAAATACTGGGGGGTGAACTTCATTACAATGTGCAGGTGCCTGTCTTGGAAGGAAATACTGATCACTGAAGGGCTCGCCTATCTACTGAAGAAAGGTGTAACAAGACCTAGCTTTGTTTTGTTTGCTTGTTTTGTGGTGGTGTTTTTTAAACAGAGAAGGTGATATAACCACTGGAACATGCCACCCAGGAAAGTGGTGGGTCTCTTTCTTCTGATGTCAAAACAAGATTTGTTGTCTTTTTAATTGGACAGTTACTGAGCGTAGTACAGGGATAGCAGCAAAATTGAATGGTCTGTGATAAAGCTAAGGGTTAGATTGGTTGGTTTAATGGTTTCTTCAGGTCTTAAAATTAAATATTTGGAAGTAAGACGCCTATCTAAACTGGGAACACCTTGCCTAAATGCTGACAAACGTATGAGGGAAGATTATGACCACTAGTACATTGTCCTTTTCAAAGTCACTTGTCTTTACTAGTATCTCAATAGCTGTCTTGTTTCTGAAATTCACCTGTTTGCTTTCAAACCTTTGATCTCTGGATTACAGACTTTACAGTGGAATTGCTAGAATCGCTTATTGGAATGTGGTCATCTTAATGGATTTACTTGCCAGCAACTTTTTATTGTAACAGAGTGCTGTGGGCAATGCACTCTTAGTTGCAGAGCAGACTGACGCTACTGGTGAAGGGGAATTTCAGGAGCATCCCTGCACAGAGCTGTAACTGCTTATCCTTTTCCTCTGCTGCTTTTTCATCCCTCTCCTCATCCTTTCATTTCCTTCTTGTCTCCTTAGACTGAAAGTTCTTCAAGACAACTACTGTGTCCACTTCTATACAGTATCTAGTGTCCTAGAGCCCTTGGATAAGCTTGTATTTTTAAACTGTTTGTCAGCCCATAGGATCTTTTAGTTTTTTTCATTTGGTTCCTTTGAAAGGCCTGGCTGGCAGCTTAGACCCAGTGTAAGTTTAAGTGAGAGATTTTCCCCCCACCTTTTTCAGGTTCTTTAACTAGTCCATTGTCCTGCCTTGTATTTCTCATCACTGCCAGGCTCTTTGAGGGACAAGAAAGGAAGATTGCCTGCTGGAGCAAAGGTGATTCTGGCACCTTCACGGTACCTTTTTTCTGATTCTTCCCTTGCTTGAGGAATGGGTGAGGAAAACCTAACAGGCTTGCATCAGGAAACAGTCTAAACTGTTTTGAATTTGGGAAGATAGAGAGTTCCCCAGAGCTTTAGAGAATGGGATACTCTGAGAGCTCCAGCAGCAGGTAAATAACTTCCCTTTTAATGTCTCACTATTGATTAATCCATATCTTACCCCATGGGAATGAGAGAGTCTAAAAGGAGGCAGTTCTAGCCATCTGCAAATGAGTGAGGGTTTTCTTTTTTTCCATTATTTAAAAAATCTGTAGGGTTTTGTTGCTTCCTATTCCTGTTTCTGTTTAGAAACAGAATTGTGAAGATGTTCATATGTCTGGTTTGGCTTGCCTGTGCCAACCTGTTTGCAGGAAATTTTTAGAGTAAAGGGTTGATTTGCCTTTGGTTTATTCTTTAATCCCACATTGTGGTAAACTTGGTAGTTGTAGAATATGTGACAAATTACGTTTAATCACTTCATTTTCCCACATGTTCAACAAAACCCCAGTCTAAACTTTTACATCCCACAAAGGCCAGCTGTCTAGACTTGCCATATTAATGTACTGTATTATTATTTTATATAATCCATTCTGAGTGTGTAGAGTACAACACACAGCTAAAAAACATTTGGCAAGTCTCATCTTCAGTGCTCAATTATTTAGGGACCTGGCTCTGTGAAGGAAGGTTGTGAAGTGGCTGTCTTCATGATATGGTAATGATGCCCTGTTTTTCCTGGAAGCCTTAAAGCTGTTGTACAAGGCTTTAACTCATTTGTGCCCGATTAGAAATAAGCAGGCAACCAAATGCAGCAAATATGCATATTGCACACCTTTCTGTGGAGTTCTCCAGTCATTCCTTTTCCCTATTTTAGTTGCTTTTGTAAATGCTGTTCCCTGTTCTCCCCAATGAGGAGTATTTTAATAACAGGATCGCTTGCTCGCTCTTTAGTCGTATGATGGTACGGTCTAGTCTAACCCTTCAGAAGTTACTTCACTTAAGGGTGGGATTTTTCTGAAAAATGTGTTTATACTGATAAAAGCCCTGGCCTGGGTGCAGTTATACCAACACAAGGTGACTCATGCTGTTGAGTTTCTTTTCCTTTTTATATTTTAACCATTTTTACCTCAGCCCCACTGCATTTGCAGTAGGAATACTCTGTTAAGTATATGGGTGTAGTATAGTTGAAGCAGTAAGTCCTATGTGAAGAATGCCAGGGTTTCCCGGATTCCACAGGAGCAAATTAGACTGTCTCACCAAGTCAGCTTTAGTAAGAATTAAATCCTAATAGGTTATTTGTTAAATGTTTTACAAGCAACAGGAAATTACAAATAGTTCTGAAGTTGGTATGTAGAAAATAATTTTCAAAATAATATTAAGCAAGACAGGCCCTTTGCATATTATTTTCTACATATAGACTTTAAAACCATTTGTAATCTCCTGTTGCTTGCAAAATTATTTAACAAATAACCTATTAGAACCTATTTTTGAGGCAGATTTTCTATGAAATACAATAGATCTTCAGTGCAACTGGATTTACAGTGGAGACTGAAAGCTAGTATTTCTGTAAAATAAATGACTGGAAAGTTTCAGGCAGAATAGGGGGCACCTTGGGTCCTGCTGTCCTGTCCCATTCCCCCTAACTCCTGTCCCTGTATTTAGATTTCCCTTTGAGAATAGTTTATCCTTGTGTTACTGTTTCTACTGGAGAAAAAGTAGAATGATTCTGAGGGAGTAGAAATGCAAATGAGGGCTTCAGAGTCAATACTGAATGTGAAGTGTGGTTATTAGACAGTAGTGTAAGAGCGCTTGCAGAGCCCATCTGACCAAACAGTTTAGTCTTGTTTTCTTAATACAGCACTTTTAACAATGAGACAACTTCTTGCTGTTCTGAATCAAGAACACTAAATACCAAAGATTTCCTAGTGCTGTATGCACCTGTGTTTTGATAGCTGTAACTTTCAAGTGTTTTTCATCCACAGGGTAAAAATGACTTGCTATACCAGCAGGTAAACAGATGAAAGGCCATCTTTAACAATATTCAGAAGCTGGGGAAACACCCATCTGCCTCCTTTGCAATTCATCAAAGGACCTATGGGGTGGTTTGAAACATTTGATTGTAAACTTTTTAACAAAGGTTTGTCTGCACAGGGAAGTTCCTGTATGGTAGACCTGGGGGTGAGTTTATAGGGCAGTAGCTGGGTGGTGGTGATGTTCTATGTAGTAAAAGTGGATGCTGACAGTGACTGCATGTGCAAGGTAGCTCACTCCATTTGCAAGGATGCTGTCCACAAAGGGAATTAGCAAGTAGTCTGTTCTGGGTAAATTCATACCATATCTTACTGCACAGGAATTTGTTGTATAGACAGACCTCCAGGGTTCTTCCAGCTGTTTGCACCTGTTGATCCTCTCCAGATAAGCTACTCCAAGTTTCCCAGCAAACACCAGGAGATCTGAATACCAGCGTAAAGAGTTGTGCTTTAAAGCATGATTAGGTTTTCCACACGATAAAGGAAGAAAATGGCCCACAGGCTTTTTTTTTTTTTTTTGTCTTGGGAAATCACTTTTAAGCTTTCTGTCAAGGTTACAAGGTGCATTCTTCATTTCAGTGTGTACTGGGAGTTGTAGGTGTAAATAATACCCCCAAAATGTCCATGGTGTATGTGCAGGTAACCACTTGAAAAAGGAGTTCCCATTAACATCTGGTGCTTTTGAAATTTTCATGGCAGGCACTGTAGGCTTCCACCTCCCTGTTTCTCCCTCCCCAACCCTTTCACAATTAGACCATGACACAGTCTTTCTGACCTGCAGAGCTGCGGCTGCAGTTCCAGGTCTGGGCCTCTCCTAGCCACAGACTGTTTCCTGTCAAACTTATTTAACATTATTTTTCCCCTCCTTTCCCTCTTAGTTTGGATAATCTTGTCTTGCACAGGTGCTTTGTTGGTGAGTGGAGCACAATCCCAGGGTCTACAAAGGCTTCCTCACAATGTTTCCAATAGAAAATTGATGGTATCATTCAAGAGTGTACACTGAAGGAAAAGCCAAGCAATTGCTTTTGCCCCTACACAATTCAAATAGATTCTTCTTATCTATAAATCTGCAAAACCTTACAATTTCAATATTTTGTTAATGTATGAATAGTTTTGCTACGTAGTTCATCTGAATTAGCCTGCTGAGGAAAATGAGCAGCTTTGTTTTTCTCCTTTAATTTCCCTTGGCCTTTCCCCAGGAGCTCAGTACATGAAATAATTTTGGAGAGGTGCTTAATTAGGTGTTTTAAATAAGTGCCTGTGGAAAAACGGATACAGTTTGGTTCTAATGCATTCAATTCATATAGTCTGCAGCAGGTCTTAGTAAATGTATTTTTAGTCGTGCAGTCAGGGTTGTGTTTTTATCAATTCATGTGACAGACTCGTAGATCATCAAAGCTTGTGCTGAATACTGAAATGTCTTTTGTAGGAACCAAACTGCCTCCAAGGCATTTTTCCTTCTGTACACAAACTTGTAATGAAGAAATATTCAACATATTAAAATAAAGGCTGTGCTTAAGGCTGGATTACGCATCTATAAATAAGAGCAGCCTGGATTAAGTATTGTATTCCTAACTCATGTGATCATAAAAACTTGATAATGCTGAACATTTTTACATCTGGTTTGGTGCTTCATTTGCTAACCCAATAAAAATAATTGCATCTCTTTTCTCACTTTAGGTTGGTGGAACAAAAGCTGGAGTAGTACGTTTTCTAGGAGAAACTGACTTTGCTAAGGGAGAGTGGTGCGGCGTAGAATTAGATGAACCTTTGGGAAAGAATGATGGAGCGGTGGCTGGAACAAGGTTAGTTCATATACCAGTGTCAAACCAGATTTCTTGGGCATCTAATCTTGATTTTTACTGATTTTGAAACATACATAAAACCAAGTACCTGATCTGAGTAGGGACCTTTGACAATCTTATTGGACATATATCTGCATATTGAGGCAGCTAAATCTCTTTGAAAGTATGGGCCCCTGCCCTTCAAGTTCTTAGAATTAATAGATCGCATCCTTTTTCACCTGGATGAGATCTTTCCTCATAGATTGGCACAGCAAAGCAAGCTTTCCAGCTTTTTCAATCACCTAATTGGTTTCTCAACCTTGTATAACTTGTCCTAATAAAGAAAATACTCTGTTTGCACCTTCTAGCTAAAATGAAGCAAAAGCTTTTCTGTGCAACTGAAAGTACTTACTACCATTCGCTTCAGAGTTATCAATACCTTCACTCGTTACAGTGGTGTATGTGACACTAATATGTATAAAGCCTGACTGCACCTCACAGGTTAGGTGTTTCTCCCTGAATTCTCCATTTCAATGGATCTCAACCTTTTTAAATTCAAGGCACCCCTCAGGAAAAGCCAGTTATTAGCTTTCACTCATTTTTAACTACAGAAAAATAACAGAGCAATTCTGTTGCAATGAATCCAGTAAGATCACAACAGGGCTGAATTTGTTTGACAAGAATAGAATCCTATCTGGAACTTTTGGGTTTATCTTGTCAATTGTGTAGGTGTTTGCATACCTAATAGCTAATACTATGCAACACCCTGGATGAGAATCACTGCTCTATTTATTTAAAGGAAAGAAAAGAAAGGACCTCTTAACTCATCAACATTTTGAAGAATGTTCATTAATTCAGCATATATATTATGCAGCATATTTAAATGATTAGTAGGTTATAGTAAGGTTGTGCTCTAAAACAGGCTGTCATACATTTATATTTAAAAAGATTTATTTGGGTTTTTTTAAATGTACTTTTAAAAAAGTTCTGAATTTTGAACTTAAAATCAGAATTTTATCCAAGTGTTATCTGCCCTCATCTGCTTGGAGAAATGCACATGCACTCTTTAAAATGTGGATGGGATTTCATGAGACAAATGAGCATTTCTCTAGCCCAATGGTTTTTTTCCTATATAAATTTCTGAAGTCTGTCATAAGTGGTGATAAAGCCTCTCTCTCAAAAAAGAAAAGTTGAAAAAATCTTATTGTAAAAAGTGCTGGGCAGTCTAAATACAGACTGGACTGCGACCAATCTATGCCTTGTCTCTTTAGGCTGTTGACCTGGGTTTCTTTAATAGGTGCTTTACTCTACATGAGAAAGTAGTTGTCTGCAGTCTTACTAATGCTCTCCTCTGGTTGTTTTTTTTCTAAAGGTATTTTCAGTGTCAGCCAAAATATGGTTTGTTTGCCCCAGTCCACAAAGTTACCAAGATTGGGTTTCCATCAACCACACCAGCAAAAGCCAAGACAACTGTGAGGAAAGTGGTTGCAACGCCATCGACTCTGAAACGTAGTCCAAGTGCATCTTCCCTTAGTTCTCTCAGTTCTGTGGCATCATCAGTAAGCAGCAAGCCAAGCCGTACAGGACTAGTAAGCTGTTTTTCTACTGCATGCTTTACAGTCCCCAGCAGAAATCCACATGGCATATGCTGGTGGCTTGCTTACAGAAATTAAACTGAGAATAGAACAGATCTTGAAGAGTACCGTATTTGTTTCATTGTGCTCTTTTCTCCCCCCCTCCCCTTTCTTCCACTTAAAGCATGCATGAAGGAAATCTTAGCTAGCCCTGAAGAACAGATAAATATTTGTGTGTTTTGTTGTATGCTTTACAGTTAACTCAGACTAACTGAAATTGTTGCAGTAGGAAAGTGGCTTATGTTACCAGCAAAATGAATTACATTGTCATGCTCTGCCTGGCACTGGCATTGTAGATGATCCATTTTTTTCTGAAGCTGTTTCTGTGTTGACACAAAGTTTGTTTGCAGACTTAGCACGTGTTAAAACTTCCAGAGATAATCTTGTTTCATTAAAAGCAATAGCAGGGGGTTGTCAGGTAAGCCAAAATGGAAAATGCTTCCTTCCCCAGCAAAGAGATGTTTGTATGTAATGAACAAAAGAAAAGATGCAGTGTGAGAATTTCATGTCTGCCTCTGGTGAACTAAGCCCCTTTCTTTTTCTTTTCAGTTGAATGTTAACCTTGTGAGCTGATAGAGTAGAAATTGTTTTATATAGATTTTAACATAACACTAATTCTGTCTAATGTACTTAAAGCTCTATTCATTTATTTATTTTGAGTTTTGTCTGTTAAAGAAACGTTCCAGCCTTGGGTCACATGTAGTAAAATGGAAACTTTAAAGCTGGATACCAGCCATCTTTTATAGGGCAAGGGAGTTGAGCAGAAATACTTCCCCAAATCCAACACTTGCTCAGAACAACAGGGTGAGTATGTTTAGGAGAGAGCTCATGGCACCTTTATTCAGGTGGAGCTGGATGACTCTCTTAAGTAATTTGAAAGTTGCTCTGTCAGCAGCATAGTGCCCCCAAGGTTGGTATTTTAATTTGTATTGCCTCAGAAGAAATGTTATGTTTGTATTTGCTGAAGTGCTTCCATCCAAGTACAAGCATGAACTTACTCTGCTTAGCTTCTTGTTGACATGGGAGTGGCTGCAGACTATAATAACTCTTTTGATTTTTCTCTCTAGTGCTTTCCTTCAGTGCTTTCAGATGTTTTGACCATAAATATATCATTCTTCCACAGTTAAATATTTTCGAAGTGCAGGCTGCAGCCCTCTTCCTTGCATGCTCTCCTCAGTAGGCATGAATGCTTTGGTTGTGTCCAAGTGGAGACTCCATTTTTCAAAATAACCTTTTGACATTTTGCTCGTGAGGAGTAAAATGCTGATTATTGGCAAAGTCCGGCATTTCCTTGCTTATACTCAAACATTAGTCACAGCAGGTTTCTGCTACTCTGATATTCCAGAAGCAGTGTTTTTGTGTAACTTTTCTCTCTGATCTGGAGTTTGACAGCTTTGTCCCCATTCTTTTTAAGGGATACTACTGTTTTCTCTTCTATGTACCATCAAGGTAGATGAGCCACTGATGTAACAAAACTGCCTTTTGCAATTCAAGACTATCTCCAAGATGGGGATGAGCTGTGATTTTTTTTTTTTTTTTTTTTTTTGTCTAGCACTGCAAACTTGAGATCATTCCTTAAATTCTGAGCTTTGAAAAGCTGTAGTCACTGAGAAGTAGCTGCTCATGACTCATGAGCTAAGGCTTGGTCCTGCTTTTGGGATTGTGGCACATTTCTTGGTAGCTGAGGAAATATGGTAGCTTGTCATCCGAACATCAACCTGAACCTGTCTTTTTTTATAAGAAGCTAATGCAATTCTTCCTGATGTTTCTCAAGTTACTTGATGTACATTGCTTGCTTTGTGTTCTGGAAGAGCTGGCTCTAAAAGAAGAGAATGGCATAAAGAAGCTTTTAGCTCAGAACATGGAAAGGGAAATATGATCAGATATTTTCTGGAGGAGGCAGCCTAAGTCTGCTCTGGTAGAATTTAAGGATAATCTACTGAGGAGTAGATGAAAGATGTCATATTTTAACACTTGACAAGAAACTCTCTGAACTACAGAAAGTTCAGGGCAGTTTTTACTTATGTCTGCAGGCTTACAGTCATACCTCCTGAACCCACAACTTGTTTGCTCACTTCAGTGCCAGTTCCTGTTGTATGTTTAGTTCTTCCATTTTTCCCTTTTTCATTTAAAAAGCCTTGATGATGTGGAGGATAAAGAGATGCTAACTTTGAGTATTTGTAATGACTAATTCCTCGGGTGAAGCAACATAACCAGGCCAAACCTTCGGTCTCACTTTAGAAGTTTTCACATTTTCCAGCTTGATTCTACTTTTCTCTCTACTTTTTAATTCAGATCCTTCAAAGTAGGTCTTTCTGAAAGCTATCTTCATCCTCAGGGCAATTTGTACTGAGGATTCTGCTTCAAAATGTTAAGTAGCATTACAAGGACCATAGAATTTGTCATTTTATTTGAAGTAAATTTGTGTTGGCCTTGGTGGAAGGCTCAGTTAAGTACACAGCAGAATTTGACCCTATATATTTACCCTTCTCTAAATAAAAACTGATAGTATGGGAGTGAGAGTTCATAGGAGTAGTGTTTCATACAGCATTTGGAAACTTAATGTTTCTAGATTCTGCAAGTGACCCAAGATGGATTGAGTGAATAGAGGAAAAATGTCTTTAACTTACTGTGAGGACATTTTTAACTCTAGCCAGTGCCCGTATGAAAAGATGTTTAGCAACCTAATAAGCTAGCCTTTGAGTGAGCCTCCAGTACTGATACAAGACTGAGGCCAGCCCTTTGTTTTCACTTGAGCCCTTCTCTCTCCCACACAGCACTTGCTGATTGCCACCTAACAGTCTTGCCACAGGGGTATGTTTGCTGTTAACTTCCAGAAAAGCTAATTGAAGTAGACTATTTTCCTTTTCTTTAATTGGCATATGACATATATTGGGGGTATCTGTTACTGGGTATGGATAACATTTGCTTAGGTAGCAAGTGCACCAAAATTCTTGTGCAGTCAAATGATGTTCCTGACTTTTTTCCACTTATATAACTGTGATTTTTTTTTTACTTAACTTTCTGAAGTTGACAGAAACATCTTCCCGATATGCAAGAAAAATTTCTGGCACCACAGCCTTGCAGGAGGCTCTGAAGGAGAAGCAGCAGCACATTGAACAGCTTCTGGCAGAGAGAGACCTGGAGAGAGCAGAAGTTGCTAAAGCAACTAGTCATGTTGGGGAAATAGAGCAGGAGCTAGCACTTGTTCGAGATGGACATGACCGGGTAAAGAATGATTCTGGTTTTGTTTGAAATTATGGTTTTGGGGCTCTGCCCACCTTTTTAGGGGTGGGGGTAAGGGGGTTATCCTTTGGGTGATCACTTACTGAATTATGTCTTTGTTGCTCCTCTTTCCTGATATGCTTCCATGGAAAATGGTTAACCATCCACTTTTCTTTTCCTGTGAACTGGGTGGCTTGCTTTTTCCTCTTAGATATATCCCTGCTTAAATTGCTTTAATGTATGATTTCACTTACTCACTGAATTCTGTGTCATTGCTACAAATATAGCATGTGGTGGAAGTGGAAGCGAAGATGGACCAGTTACGGGCTATGGTTGAAGCTGCTGATAGGGAGAAAGTGGAGCTTCTCAACCAACTTGAAGAAGAGAAAAGGTGAACCTGAAATGTTTTACTCAGTATTTCTCTGTAACAGTCAAGTCCTTGTGTTTTCAAATGTGGTGGCTTACAAATAACAGATTAACTCCATATTTAAACATTGTAGTTGTGACCTAGTGATCTAGGGAGTGCTTTTTGTAAAACCAGTGCTGTTCCTATAAAATGCTACTAAAAATATGCTCCCTGCCCCAGTAGGCAAGTATGTAGTTGGTATAAGAACTCCAACATAATTCATGCTGTTATGGAGTTGCTTAGATCAACAGATTGTGACTGGCAAACAGATTTTATGAGGTTTCAATGAGTTTAATGTTTGATGTTAATAGTCAGGTATGAAGAATATCAGATGACAGTCTGCATATGCTTCTGAAGTTTTTTGTTTGTTTGTTCATGTTTGGAGTTTTACACTCATTTATTGCTCACGTTTTCAAAGGGAGAGAGTTGGACTAGATTGCCTTGCTGAGACTTCTTTTTTTTTTTAATTTCTGTCTCTACTTATCCTCCACCTGAATTTCAAGCAGATCATTCCTTTATACTGCCTCTCTCTCGTTTTATAAAGGACTTTTATTCCTCCTAATAAAGTGTTTTTAGCTTATGCTCTGATTCCTGAAAGCGTAATTTCTCCTACGTCACAGGGCAGCTTTATATTTTTGTTTCTCAAGTCAGCCAAATCAGGAACTTATAAGTTAGTCTTCGTTTCCATCAGGTGCATGCTCATTTCCCCTTTCTGGGGGGAAAAAAATCATCAAATCCTTTTAAGCTTTATGTCTTTCCTAACTTCCATCCTGAACTGTTGGTGAAAAAGGAGTTGAGATTCCCGACTTCCATTTAGTTCCAACAGTGGTGAATCGGGTATGTTTTGGAGAGTGCTGGAAGGTGATTAATTTGCTGTCTTTGTGCATTCAGAATGCTCTTTAGAATCTCTTGAGAAGCAGGAGCCTATCTAGAAACAGCACGGGCAGGCTTCCAGCTTTGCACCCTCCAGTTACACCCATTTCTGTGAAACTGACTTTATGGAAAACTGTACAGGAAAATTGCTTTTCTTAAAAACTCAACATTCCTGGTGTATGGATCACAGAAGAAAGTCTCAGCTGACTCTCTGCAGCATTCACGGCCCCCTTAGCTCCGGTCTGTTTGGATTTTCACAATGTGTTGCTCCCTGTTCTCGATGAGTGTAATGTTGTTTGAATCCACCCCTAGAAATGAATATGTAGTAGACGCTCTCCGTCTCGCAGCTTGGTTGTGAATGCCAGGGCAGCAGGGACTACTTTAAGTCTGGTCCTCGTTGGCCTTGAGCTCACCTCCACCACGTTGCTAGGCAACGTAACAGGATCACTGTGTATGCCTGACACACATTAACTGAAGTGGCATTTTACCACTTGGGAAATACTACACCGCTGAAGCCATGAATATTTCTGCCTCTCCTTCCTAAACAGTCTACAGTTATTTTTTCTAGGAAAGTTCTCTGTTCTGTGTGAACGACCCATGCAGCAGCTTGAAATCCAGCAATGATAAATGCTTTGCTCAGAAAAAAATATAGAATTGTGCCATATACAGCTTTGTATAAACTTAAATACATATTGTACTTTTCCTTTCTTCCTTTTTCTCCAAAAAGTCCTTTAATTCCCATGAGCCCTGTTTAGACTAAGGAGATGTTAATGTGGTCTTCTCCAGTCAGTCAGCCAACCTCCAGTTACCAGCCGGTGTGTGCCATTCAAGGAGTAATAGGCACCTTTTTCTCTCTTCTGCACTCTTTTGTGGAGCTGGAAGGACTAGGGAGCTAGTCTAATATAGCTCAGAATCTGACTCCAGAACCCTCTAATTGAAATATGCCATCCCTAGACCATTCAAGTCACTTGGTAAAATATGAATAGGGAGAAGTGGGGTTCTTAAATTGTTGGCCAACACTTTCTAACTACATCTCTGAAAAATCTAATATAGACAAGGCCGGTTGTACTTGAGCAAGAGTTGGTTCCTTTCCTATTTGCCCCATGTGTCATCTTGAGCATCCAGCATATTCTGAAGATCACCCTGGTTTGCCTGCATTAGTTTTTTAGTGCCTGCTAGTTTACATGCTCTTAAATCTGGTTCCTTTCATCTTTTTAACATTTCCTATTTTCTTCCTCATTTCATGCATAAATTAGAGATTGTAATGGTATATTAGATAAAGTTGTGTGTCCAGGCGATAGTCTGAGAACCTTCAAAGGATTTAAGGAATGAATGAAATGGCGGCCAGTTACCTTGAAATATTTTCTATCTTCTACTTGTAGAACTGCCAGAAAGGTATTATTGTCATATTTTGGCTTTAATTTGCCGTTCAGAGTTCTCTATAGAGTTTGCCATGTTGTTTTTCATCTCTTCCACTTTTTCCTGCTACAGACTGAAGTAATCAAAAATTTTACTGTAGATTTTATTTCTTGGGAAAAGCAAGTGTGAAAATCAGTCTCTTTCAAAATTGTCATTATTTTATGCTTCACAGGAAGGTAGAGGACCTTCAGTTCCGTGTAGAAGAAGAATCCATTACCAAAGGAGACCTAGAGGTAAAATACCCCCAACTTTGTAAGCTTCACATGCTGTAGGATTTCGAAATGCAAACAGTTCTAGAGGTAGTAGTACAAGTAGTCTGAGAAAATAATAGAAATGATTAAAACTGCATGTTGGTAGTCCAGAAGCGCACATAACACATGAAGGTAGTTCCCAATTCTGCAGTCCTTGTCTAAGTTAAATGCTCAGACATTTCAGGATTGGACCCTTAAGCAAATTGAATTGCTCAGCACGGCTTCTAGAGTTGAGTGGTGGTGGGTTTTGTCAGAGTGCTTTAGTTCTTGGTAAAATTCTACCCTTTTTGCTGTTTTATAGTATGTCTTGCTAATGCTTCCAAAATTCTTTTAGTGAAATCAACAAACAGAAATCAGAGTTAAAGTTTTATGAAACTGACAGTTGTTAGCTGCATCCCAGTTAAATGGGCACTGAAAACGAATCACATTTGTCTTCTGGCTGACTGACACTGAAAAATTATTTCATCCTTGTACACTTCTCAGTAAGCTTACCATCGCACTGTGCTTTAGTGAGAGCTCAGAACTCAGAATGCATCACTGAAGAGTCAAAAATTTGCTCTTCCCACTGTTTACCTTCCTGCTTTTCCTGGTCCCTGTGCTGTGCTGAGCTCTAGTCTAACGTTATAATCTACATAGGATTAATTAGCAAGAAATGGTCTGAGCCAGTATAAACACTGCCAGTTTCATAATCCAAATTTTAAAATTTAAATTCTTGGATTCCCTCTTGTATCTCTAACATGTTCTTGTTTAATCTGAAAGATATTGAATGCTCTTATCCCAGGATGCAGAGAAATACAAATTTAAACTGACTTGTGACACTATGAACCCTTAAAGCCCGAAAGTGCTAGCCTTAAGTGGTCCATTTCATATAACATTTCCTTTTTTAGTTCTACCTTTTAGTCTTCCATCCATTTAAAAATATCTGTCTAAACTTTTCATAGAAATCTTCTTTATTTTTAGTGAATGACATATTATTTATTAGTATTATTATTATTATGTTTAAAACAGTGTTTGAAATCACAGCAGACCAGAATTGGTTTGTCAAGATGCATATCTTAAAGTTTAAATTGAATTCAGGTTAACTAAATGTCTCCTGTTGCTTGTATTAGAAATAATAGTGTTAAGTGTTGAGGTAAAATATTTTTGTTTTTGTTTTTAATTTTACTGATAGCAAAAGAGGCAGATTTCTGAAGATCCTGAGAATGTAAGAGGGCACTTCCGTGTGCAAAGATATTCCCATTAACAGATTGTGTACAAATAAATGCTTATTGATAAACTTAATCACTAACTGCATAATCTGTTATTGAAACATTGACTGTAGTATGTGTGCATGTTGCTTTCAGAGCAATTACAACATTTATCAAAAGGAATGTATGTAATGACTAAACGCTGTAATCCCCCTTAACTGAAGTGTGGGAGAATGCATCATCCTTAGAGTCTTTTTCAAATATGAAACCACAAACTTAATACAGTGCAAATGATTGGAAAGTAACAGGAGCTTGTAGGAAACTAGTCACGCTCCCTGAAATGTCCCTCACTTAAAAACAGGCTGCAGCTTGCATTCATCACAAAATCCTACATGCTTTCCCGTGAGCTCCCACTACTGTTCAATGGAGGGCACTGTACAGCATTTTATTACATTTCTTCTGAGAACAAATTTGATGTCCCTCCCACATGCCTTAGACTCATTACCTTTTTTTTTTCCTCATGAAATGCTGACGAGAGAGCTTTAAGCTAGGAGAAGCATAATTATCTCACTATTTATAGTGAACAAATAAATGGATTTTTCATTCTAGTATAAAGGGACTTCAACCCTGAGTCTTGGAGAGGAATTGTGTTGCACTGGTTAGGAAAAATTGCTTTGCAAGTAATTAAAATAAATGCCCTCTGCTCTTTCTCTGGTACTGATGGAATTCCAAAGCTCTCTCCTTTTGCTTAGACTCCCTTTCCCTATCCCTATCCCAAGTAGAAAGCACTCAAAACTAAAAATAGTTTCCTACTATGCATTCTTAGGTGTTTCTTTTCTAAAACTACTTCAGTGATCTGGGTCTCTTCTGTCCTTCCATGTCTGGCTCCATGGTGTGATGGAAGTAAACTTGAATGTGGCCGCCTTCTTTCCTGAGGGGGGGAAAAAAATCTTTGCTGCTGTCCATTTGAGTAGGGGGTGGTATTAATTTTTAAATGGAGCCCTAGCTAAGAAACTGCTCAGGTTGCATTGTTTAGTGATCACCCCACCATGGGAGGCAGTGTGGGGAACAGGAGGACCTCCTGTCATAGTCACAGGACAGTTGGACAGCGGCATAGCTTTGACAGCTCAATCCAGAGATGCAAAACTTGACTTTGAATTTCAGCTTGGAGAGGAGGAGAGCAGCCAGTGTGCAGATGCTGAACTTTGTTGGTGACTAATGGCTCTGCAGTCACTTAGTGGAGTTGTACAGAGTATAAATCAGGTCCAAGTTAGGATTTGTCTCCCACCGCTCATCTCTGATTGCAATGCTCCAGAGAAAGGAGAGGCTCCTGTTGTGAGTTGGGGGTGTTTTTGCTGGTTTGTTTGCTTTTTTGCTTTTTATACATTTGTGTTGAATTTTAAGTTCAAATCCTTCTCTCCCTTACAGTACACTACAATAAATCTTTGTCATAGAAAGCAGACTTTTTTGAATGATAAATTCCAAGTAATAAAAACAATAAGCTCTCAAAAATCTTGCTGAGGGTTCTTTTGCATGGAGCTTCTCTTATTGTCAGCTGCATGTTTTTAAATAATAGATGAGATTATTTTTTTTAAATCAGTTCTGATTGAATTGATGTCTGTCTAGTATTAGCAGCTAGGTTTACAATTCTTGTAAGTGAGGAATTAAACAAGAAGGCTTTTAGTTTAGGATAAGTGCAAGAGAAAACCTTAAGGTAGTATATTTTGATAGAGAAACTTTTGGTCTGAGGAGAACTCTATGGTGGCGACCACTGATCCTCCTGGATTATTGTATATGCGTGAGAGCCACCCAGACCTTCGATATATGCATATTCCTGGGCAGGAATTTTTGGAGGAGTGGAGGCTACCTAGACCTTCCATCCTCCCTTTAGCCTGCTGAGACAAAATCCAAAGACCAGACTGAGTGCAGATGGAATTGAACCCTGGTCTCCTGTGTGATAGACAAGGATTCTATCAGTGAACTCCAGGGGACTCTGGAGAAGTGTATATGCTTTCTATATAGATCTTCCTTGGGGAATGTGATACAGGATATGTAAGAATTTATTTTAAACCACTGGCTAAAAAAATTAAAACATTTTAGGATGACTTGTTGGTTTTGGCTTTTTGTTTAATGGACTCAAATAATACTGTGCAGTCACACAAAGGGTCTTAATTAAAGCTATTGTATTTAGATCAATTAGGTATTTACAACTTTTGTTAGCATCTGTTATTTTCCCTGAGAATATCTGGCCACATTGTATAAGGCTCTTGGTGACAGTAAAGACAATCCTTTCTCTTCTGGTATACAACTGGTGCAGGAACAAAGCAGGCATGGAGCCTTATAGAAACTCAGGTAACACAAGGAACTATTGAATGCTTATCATTTGAAGGAAGTTTTACTGCTTTTGGATCCTTGCATTTTGCATCTATTAATTATATTAGTAGAATTAGCATACCTTGTTTTACCTTGACAGATACAGATTTTTGTTTTGTTTTTTGTTCTTCAGAAAAGCACCAGTGAACTGTCAACTTTTTAGACAAAGAAGCAACCTGATTGCATCAGATTGAAATACTCAGGTTAAAATATAATTTGATTAATTGATGGGTGGAGAATAATAAACTTGAAGCAAAATAAGGCCCCCCCCCCCCCCCCCCCCCCCCCCCCCCCAATCTCACCTCCTCTGCAAAGACAACTTAATAGTCTTGGACAGTTAGGTCTGGTTTGAAGAAATCCTAATCAGCTTATTGTGTGGTATGTGTGTGTTTGTTTGTTTTTTTCCTTCTTAAATGCTACTTTTCAGGGATTTCTCACTGTCTTTACTATACTGGTTGTACTACCATGTGCATATAAGATGGTTTGAAGTGGAATTAGTGCCTTGTTGGGTTCCCCTACATTCTTTTTCATTTCAGACTCTTTCCATCCTATAGCAGGTTCTGCATGCTGTAGACCTACTTATTCTAATCAATATTTCTCTTGCTATTTCCATCTATCGACTCTGCTCTGCACTAAATTACCTGCTGTGGTTAAAGTATGTAGCAGAGCATTGCCCCTGCCTGACAGGTATTCTTGAAGTGGGGCATATCTTTTGCCATACACAGATGGAACTGAATTCTGCCACCACCTGGGTGGCCTCTCTTTATTGTTGAAGTGGTCAGGTCTCTTCAGATAGCATCTCTTCTTTGATAAACCAACAGGCAAGAATGTTGTATTTTTTAAACTAACTTTCAGTAGTTCATTATGGGCATGTGCTAAGAATGACACAATGTACCAAATTTTGCAATTCATAGAGACGTGTGACACCTAGTTTTTAACTCTGGATGCTCTTCTCTTCTTGCTCTCACTCTTGCTCCCTCTTATGCAAGCCAAGAATGGAACAGCTGTTGGACTCTCCTTCATCCCTCTTAAACTTCAGGCTTCCTTGCAAATTTCTAGGAATTCTTGCAAGTTTCCGTGTTGAATATCTGGGAATGAAGCATTCAGATATTCCCTACTCCCTTATAAAACTTGTACTGCTTTTGGAAGCAAAAGGCAGAAGTTACCCGGTGGCTTAGCTTGGTCTGGTTCTTTCTTTTTCTTCTATTTTTTGGAACAGCATCTCTTAGAAGTACGAAAAGCCCAAGTCCTTTGTTACTACTGCTACTTGAGTGATGTGCGTTGGGCAAAAATCAGCATTTTAGTTACAAAACAACCAGACTAAGTCAGTTGCATTCCTCCCAGTAGTTCTGGAGAATGTTGCTTGTCTTTGGCTCCTTTCTGGAAGAGCTGGGAAAAGACATTCTGAGTAACCCACATTCTCTACATTTGGATTTACATTGCACATATCCTAGTGAAAAATACTTTGACCTTCCTGTGACTTGCTACAGAGACTTTTGTGGCAAAGTTTTGGAAACCATGAGAGCCTACTAGTGTTCTACAGAAATTTGAACAAATATCCAAGTTCAGACCTGTTGTGAGCTGTTTCTTATTCCATGAACTTCAGCCACTAAAAACCAGGTCTGAATTTTCCCCCCTCAATTCATATATAAATTGTTAAAAACAAAGTCAGTGGCATATCAGTAAAGTTCAATGTTAATGGGAGTGGCAAGGGAAGGGGCATATAGTTCTGTAAAAACAAGAATTAACTATTCTAATTTGTGCTGATCAACTTCACATACTGATAAATAACTTCTACTTGGCTGCATGAATCTACCTTTTGTCCATACTTCTTCTCGTTTGTTTTGGTTTTTGGTTTTTTTTGTCAGTCCATTTACACTTTGAGTCCGTTGCTTTCATCCATAGCATTTCCCTGTTCATTTTACCACTGCATCTTCTCTGCTCATCATTGGTAGAAGATACTGGCAGCACGGCCTGCATGTGGCTCCTTCCTTTTGTGCTGGCATGTGATGGTGGCACTGTTGTGTTCTCTTCCTTTCCCTTTTTACTAACAGACGCAGACCAAACTGGAGCATGCCCGCATTAAGGAGCTTGAACAGAGCCTGCTCTTTGAAAAGACCAAAGCTGACAAACTCCAGAGGGAGTTAGAAGACACTAGGGTAATGGTTTTCGCTATTTAAATGAACGAGACCTGTTTGTAATGTGGAGGCTTTCTCATGACACAGTGCTGGGTAAATACAAATTTGCAGGAGTGCCTTAGTTCTGCCTTGATCAGAATATGCACAGAAGTGCACAAAACACCCCTAACATTACCATTAAAATTATTGTGACCATTAGTAACTTGCATATATATTTATAAATATTTCTTCAAAGGAATCCTTTGAAGAAATATCTATATATTAATATAATATATATAGATATTTCTTCGACCCAGGTAAGATCTCTTCACACAGGAAAAGTATCACTTGAATACAGATCCAAAGCCACAAACAAAACTGAGGGTTTATTTATCAGTGTTCACTATCTACTTGTAGCAAATAGCACTGTTCTTTGTGCTCGTCAGGAAATGCTAAAATTTACTGACTTTCTGGGTCTAAACCAACATGTTCATTTCTTAGTTCTTCCAGTTGAGAGGCTTGTGGGAGGGTAGGGGGTGACGTTCTCAATCATCTGGCCCTTAAGAACAAGTTGCAATAGTTATTTATACAAGCGTATAATGCCATACAGTTTTTTCTCCCTCTCAACCTGTGTGGTTTTTCCATCAGTTTACACCTTTAAGACTTTTTTGTGATGCCCTTGTCAAAGGTGTAAAAGCTCTGCCTGTGCTCAGACTTGAAATTATGTTAATATCTTTCTTGCAAGAACCATATTAATCTTTCTCTCGAAAGGTATTAACCCTGTATCAAATTTTAGTTGAGACAGGGGCAGCATAGGCTAAATGGTTGATTCCAGTATTGCTTTATACAGGTCTTTTTAGTAGAACATGCTCTTCTACATCACAGTTTGACCTGAGGTTTCTTTAAGGTCAAGCTCCAGGAAGCATCAAAAAATACTTTTTAAAGTTCCTTAATTGGTGCTCTGTGCAGATACAAGAAAGGAAACTTTTTTGATTTTTGTACTTGAAAGGATTAATTGTTCTGGTTGTGAAACTTCCCAGTAATTTGAAACTGCTCTGTTCAGGCCTAAACCTTTGCTTGCTTATGGTTGATTTAGATGATTTTAAATATCAGTGCATAATGAATATCAAATCATTGGCAGTCATTGTTCTTAAAATGAACTTGCAGGTTGTCCAATCAGCTTTCTTCTGTCAGTTTAAAGCTTGTTGATTTAATTGAAACCAAATCTTCTCTCCAAACCAGAAAATGCTATAATTAATTAATTAAGATGGAATGACAAGTAAATGGTACCATATCAGTGACTGTGGATTGGCAGCTAATTATTTTTCTAAATCCAAAAGATTTAAGTGAAGAAAAGGAAGATGTGGACAGCTACTGTCTGGTTCCTGTTAAATTTTAATAAGAAGTTATTTAATTTAATTACCACTGAGTTAATCCCAACAATGAAAAAGCTTGCATTTATGGATCCTGAAGAATAAAGGCAGAACTTTGTAGTATCAGTGTGAAATTTTAAATTTGGGTTTTGCCGGAGTCCTGTAAGACCTCTTTTCTGAGAAGAGAATATTCTATAGATCCTACTCTTGTATTATAAAACTGAAAGAATGGATTGCTTCTGTGTAGCAATCCTTTAAATTTATGGGAATCCAGTAAATCGATGGGATTAATGGATCCAGGTTTTCATGGTGATTTTGAGCTATTTGGAAAATAGAAAAGCATTAAAATTCTCACAGGTAAATAAGAATTATGCTTGTCTATAATATGAATACGATACTGTAGCCTTCCTATAGGCAATATGATATCCTGCTCTAAGCATGGTTTCTTCATCATTCACTCAAAACATTACACTCTCATTTTGGATCCTCTTATTATCCAGCTATCAGTTAGTAGATGCAACATAAACTAGCTGCATTGTCTTGCGGGGTGGGAGGGCCATTCTGCAGAGAATGAACTTCCATTTAGCTGGAGTTCTGCATATTTGTGAAGTGTAAAAAAATGTCAGGCCCTTACTACTCAAAACAAAACAGCAAGACACTAAAGCTTTTCTAGCTCTCCAACTTAGGCAAAAGAGGAACAGGTGTTTCCTAACTCATTCTTGTTTTGTTAAGATGATAGAAGAACCTGAATGGTAGAGGAACACACAGGTGATACTTTTACCTAATTTCATGTTAAAGAAAAATACAGAGTAACTGCACCTTTAGGACCCTTCTGGGACAGCATTGATATGTGGAGAGATTTCAAGAGGATTATACACAAATGCTCAGGTCCATGCTATGGAGATGTGAGATCTGTATTTTTAGGGAGAAGTACTTTAGGTATGCTTGATTCTACCCAATTAAGTTGGCAACATAGAGCCTAAAACCTTGGTCTTTGGGGCACAACTGGTCCAAACATTTTTACTGAGAGAAGATAAGAAACCTTCATCTCTAGAGGAAAAACTAATAAGAATTTTATATTTGGACTTATTAATATGTTCACAATTTCTGGCCACACTCAGGAAACGCCTCATCAGACCTGATCAAGTGATGTTAATATTTTTGCTCAAATATTACCAGGATGTCAGTGGTTACCCAAGAGAGAAAGCATAAAGTTACCTGTTACGTGAATGGATTCTGGGTCTCCTTACAGACTGGTCAAGTTGCCTTGTTCTTGAATTCTTTACACATGCATGCCTATAGCCATGCTGGGTTGACAAGCCTTTATTAATGGCTTCTACGCTTGTGGAACATCAGTAACAGAGAGATGAGGATAACTTTTTAATAATACACTGCCAGTCTTTGCGCTGAAAGAAAATACCCGGAGGCCTGCAAATCTGCTCCAAGAGGTGATGAATGATATCAGTCTCCCATGTGAAGAAATCTACCAGGTGTGGAAATGGCCTGATGAATACTACTTCTCTTACGACACATTTGCAACACACATTTCAAGACCAGTTGGTGTATTGATACATTTTAAAAATCATCTATGAATCAAACAGCTGATAATTATCTTCATCTTTTTTCCTCAAACTGGAAAGCATTGAGAGCTTGTTTTTTTTGTTGCTCAGCTGAGCTTTCTGTTTTATGCATTGGGAAAATCATTAAATGCAGTTAATACAATTTTTCTTCCTGAGAAAGAGAAAAGTGCTTCTGCGTTTCATTCATTAATGTAGTAAGTCCTCAAGGTTGTATTTTTTTTAAACTCCTGTCAAGCTTTTGGTTTAGCCAGAGTTCCAATGGAAGAACGTGTTACAATTCCTTGCTAAACAATCAACTGGTTTCTTCAGGTTCTTACTGTTTTATTTTCTTTAATTAAGTGAACATTTATCTGAGAAGAACGCCTGACTAGTTATCTGCATGTTGTGTATTTTCTTGCTCTGTTTATAAGTTGACTCTGCAATGATACAGTTGACAGCTTTTGTATGAGAAACGGCAGTCAGTCACTTAAATGCTTCTACAAAATGTTTCTGGCTTTAGTAATGCATCCCATTGGCAGCACTATTGCCTCCTCTTCCATTCGTTCTTGTTTATTCGACCTCCTTTTGATAGCAGGTAGTTCTTGGTGAGCTCAGGAAAGTGTTTTTTGAAAGTGGTCACAATGTACACTGCAAAAAACATGCCTGATGGAATTTGTGGGAGGGGCTTACAGATATTTTTTTCTTGAAGTCATAATTGGAATCATATAACACCAAGAGTAGGATCTATAGAAAAAACTTAAGAACAAACAAATAATTGCAGGTAAGTAATATACTTATTTGTGATGTAGGTAAAACTAGGAAGGAGACGATAACTTTCTGATCAGAAACAGTTGTTGAGGTATTTTACATAGGCTTTATTCCAAAGGCTAAGAAAAGTAATGAGGCTTTGACATCCTGTGAAAGCCTTGGGTAGTATCAACAGATGAACTAGGGATGAGGGAAATGTGTGTTTCATCTGTGTTTTACATGGAGATCAACCAGATTTGCATTTCTTTGCCAGTCTCAAAGTGAGTATACATAGTGTAGGGAAGGAATTTCCTGAACAAATAAAGGCTGAGAATTCTCCTTCTTTCTTTATGCCACTTTTAAAAATGGCTTTTAGAAGCATTTTACTGAACCTTAATAACCTGCAGAAGATTCAGTTTTAATCTGTTGCTTAACAAATTGTTCACTGCTTAACAAGTAACTTCATAAAGTACAACTTAACTGTTATTAATAGTGGAATGTATGTACTAGGGGTTACATAAAATGACTGGTATTTTGATTTAAAATGAAAGGATCAGTGTAAACTGAATCAAGTATTTTGGATTGCTGTGTTTCGTAGCCTTCCACATAAAGACAGTCTATGCTTTAATTCATGTTCCATTACCAGTGTCAAGAAGAGTAGGAGTTTGGATTAGATTATCTCTGACTTTGTCCAGTTTGTCAAAAAATCTAGTTAGGCTATACGAATGAGGTTAGTTTACAGTAACTGAAGTATTTCATGGAGACCAGTTAAAAAATTTCTTTGTGTCTTAAATGTTCTATAAATATTTCTTTCTTTTAAAATGCTGTTGATCATAGGTGGCCACGGTTTCAGAAAAATCTCGCATCATGGAACTAGAAAGAGATCTAGCATTACGTGTGAAGGAAGTTGCAGAGCTCCGAGAAAGATTAGAGTCTAGCAAACCAGTTGGTGATGTGGACGCTTCTCTTGCCTTGTTACAAGAAATAAGTTCTTTGCAAGAAAAAATGGCAGCCATTAGCAAAGAGCATCAAAATGAAATGAATTCATTGAAAGAGAAGTTTGGTATCAGTGAAGAAGCTTGTCAGAAAGAAATCAAAGCACTTTCAGCTTCAAACGATAGAATTACAAAAGAGAATGAGTCATTGAAAACTAAACTAGATCATGCTAACAAGGAGAATTCAGATGCGATAGAGCTATGGAAGTCAAAGTTGGAATCTGCTATTGCTTCACATCAGCAAGCTATGGAAGAACTAAAGGTTTCTTTCAGCAAAGGAGTTGGGGCTCAGACTGCTGAATTTGCAGAGCTGAGGACACAGATTGAGAAAATGAAATTAGAGTTTGAAAACGAAACCTCCAGTTTAAAATTAAAACATGAGAATGAACGATCTTATAATCTGAAAGAGATTGAAGGGCTGAAAGCAAAGCTGTTGGCAGTCACAGAGGAGAGAGAGCGAAGCCTGGAAAACCTGAAGACGAAACTGGAAAGTGCAGAAGATCAACATCTAGTAGAAATGGAAGACGCTTTAAACAAATTGCAGGAAGCTGAAATAAAGGTAAAGGAGCTAGAGGTACTGCAAGCCAAGTTCAGTGAACAAACCAAGGTTATTGATAGTCTTACAACACAGATCAAAACTGCTGAAGAAAAGATTTTGGACCTTGATGCACTTCAGAAAGCCAATTCTGAAGGTAAATTGGAAATCCAGAAACTTAGTAAGCAGCTTGAGACAGCTGAGAAACAGATACAGAGCTTAGAGGCAGAAAAGAGTGATGGAAGTAGCAAGGTTTGTATCAACATCCATCTTACTTTACTTTGTTTTATTTTATTTTACCCTTATACCATTTTTAATGTTCAGTAATCACTCATCACAGAGGAAAAATGTGGGTTTTATGAATTGTGGTATTTTTTGTGCCATCTGAGGAGGTTTAGAGAAACTGTACCCTACACTAAATCTGGAAGGCAGGTTCTCCACAGGTCCTTGTTTGGTAGATTACTGCCAGACACTTAAGTCTTGTGTGTGTTTTGCCATGGATTTAAGACTCCTGCTCTGAATTTATACTGGGGCAAGCTGTGTTGCATATGGGCCCAATGAACAAGAAAAGCTGACATGGGTTAATTCCATGTGTTACAACTCTCATGGTGAACATATTTTAGGTTAAGTGAAATGAGACTCAGTAAGAAAGTCTTTCCTGCTTGATGATTGTATTGATGTGGACACGAGTTCCTTCGCATTACTGATGCCTCCTAAAGGTTGAGTACCTCTTTGAATGATGGTCTTGCAATCAAGGCTTCACAGCTCTGCCTAGGTCCTAAGCAAAAGTAAATTGCTGGTCCGAAAAAGTATGTCCTGTTCTTTCTATTGCTGAGAGACCGGTGCAGGGAGCTATGAAATGATAAGCCTTTACATTTAGTCTTCTGGTGGTCTCTAAAATCAGTCACTTAGTTGAAAGGGCTGAAAAGGATGAAGGAGTGACTCTTTATCTCTCAATCACCCAGAAGTAGAAAGCGGAGAAAAGGGTTATTCATCTTAGCAGATATGACAGAGAAAGAGATGAGGGATCATGCTATATCTAAGAGAACTAAGGAGAGCCATAAAATCAGTGAGACCATGCTGATGGAGCATCTATGTGATGGCATATGTTTTGTGACAGCTTCATCATGTGAAGTGTATTGAAGCAAAGTTTGCAACATGGTGCATGGCTCAGTAGTTTTGCTTGTGGTCAGGCTATTAACTAATGAAGTATTGGTCTAGGTTTGAATTCTGTAGATGGAAAATAAGCTCTCTTGTTTGGGGGGAAAAAGGCATGGTTTAATATCTGAGCTTTCCCCTCCTTCATCTACGACCCAGCAAGTTGACTCTGTAATCATAGTAGCAGTATAAGTGACTTGGTCATTTTCCTAAACCTTTCTACAAATGGTGCCAAAATACTGCATCTGCTTGAACATTTTGGCATGATTTTTGGAGATAATGTTGAATGCCCACCATTCCCAGGACCGTCAATGGGCAGTATAAGCATTAAACATTTTCAATGTTATGCTGGCGGTTCAGTACAGTTCTCTTTATTTAGTAATAAAAAACCCTAGTTCTGTTGGCTACAAATATAATTTAAAATATTTGACTATATTCCAAAAACATTTTTAAAAATATCTGCTGCACAGTTCTAAGAATACCACATTTAGACAACTTATGCTTATCATCTTGGACTGATTCAGAGATGCAGCTAATACGTTAATGCAGCCTTCAGCAGAAATTTATTAAATTAACACAGAACATTTTTCCTTCAGTTTTTGTTCATCTTTTTAATTTTTTATTTGATTGTTTAAACATCTTAATTTCTTTGAAATTAATTGTTTTAGGTTCTTCATTTTTTTTTATATTATTCATGTTCATAATTTTTGTTTATGCCATTTAATCACCTTGTTAGGCTAGTAATCTGGCCAAAGACCTGCAAAGCAAAGAGCAAAAACTTCTAGACCTTGAGACAAACTTAAGTGCAGTAAATCAAGTTAAAGATTCTTTGGAAAAGGAGCTGCAAGTTTTGGTGAGTAGTTCTCAGAAATTCTCTCTAGCCATTGGGTTCACTTTGTTCTTTTATGGGAAAATCATAACTGAATTACATGAGTGAGAACTGCCCTTGCCATGGCAAAAGCCTAAGGTCATTTCAAAGGGAGTTTTGCCCAAGTTAAGTTTTGACGCAAAATTTTTCAATACATCTCACCTCAAGGTAAGATACTCTTAGTACTTTTTATTGCATTAAATTTTTACATAAGCAGAGCTCAGCTTCTGCTGGCTTCAGATAACACATTGAGCCAGATCACAGGCATCATACAACTCAATTTGAAAATAATTATTGTTAATGGCTTTATATTTCTTAAGAGTCAGAAAACGTAGGTGCGTTGTAAATCCAAGGACTTCTTAGATTCAAAAGCATACAGTAATTCCTCCTGAGACCTATCATGATATTTAAGTGAAACCAAGATACGTATATAGTGGTTTTATGTTGCCATCTGGTCCTTTCTTGGTCACAGTTGTTTAAGAAGCTGATGTGAAGAGGTCCCTTGTGGAATCTTCCTCTGTATCCTGGCCTTTTCTTAAGTATCCATACTTTTTCATTTTGTCTTCCCAGTAAGGCAAGAAAAGTCTGGTATGAGATGGGTCACAAGCTTGCAAAAGTCGGTTGAGGTCATGAATCCACCACAACCTTTGAACCAGAAGTTTATAACTGATGAACTGAGTTATCAGTTATAACTGGTTCACTTGTCTTGATAGGCCTGTGTGTGAACCATGTTTCCCATACAAATTTGCACTGCTTCTGTACCACTCTCCCAGGTTACAGAGAAGCTGGAAGAACATGCAGAAGGATTATTTTCTTTCTGACAAATTTAAAATACCTAATGCTACAAGTCAGAAATTCACAATATGTCTGTGACAGTCATCAGTCATAATTCCATCATTGGTAAATGGTAAATAGTACCCATACTTTCTAAATAATGTCTCTTTATCAAATGTAAACTTGTCTTGGGCTTTCATTCTTTTCTAGAAAGAGAAGTTCACAAATGCCGCTGATGAGGCAGAAAATGTTCAAAAATCTATGCAAGGTACGTTTTCCTAAAATCTAAACCCAACCTTTCCAATGCTTCAGAAAATTGTATCTTGCAAAATTTAAATTCTTCATGAATGTGGCGTAATTCAACAGTACAGTACTTGGTTTGACAAATATTAGGAATAAAACAGGATTATTTATGGTTTCTTTGTTTGAGAGTAATATGCATGCCTTGTCAATGAGACTTGCTCAAAAAGTTGAGTTGTAGTTAAGCTGGTGACTAATTTTGCATTTTATTCCCATAGAAACTATTAAAAAACTAAACCAAAAAGAAGAGCAGTTTGCACTTATGTCCTCAGAACTGGAACAGTTAAAATCTAGTTTGACAGGTAAGGAAATGAGAAAATGGAGTACTTGTAAACAAAATGCCACTTTTATGCTTTCATGCAGCCTCCTACTCCTCTTATAACATGGTAGCTGATACCTCCACAATGGGAGATACCTTTTTTGGAAGCTAGCACATCAGACACCATCCTAGTTTCTAGCCCCAAGCCAAAATGCAAATCAGGTCATTTGTGTGACCATTCAGTAAGTACAACTGAAAGACTATATATAGTGACGCTGGGCAAAGTGACTGACATCAGGGCAGCAGTGGTAAAATATATTTTCTGGCTTTACTTGCCGTTTGCTTGAGTCTGCTCCAGACAGATAACTAAAGCCTTGCTTTATGCATTTCTCAGTATTAACATTTACCAACAAAAATGCCCACTTAGATCAGCTGCTCCATTAATATACATTTAAGTGGGATGATAGTAGAAATGTATCACAGTGAAAGCTGGAAATTAAGACTAACTTGCTTCAAGTGTAAGAT